ATGCAATGTTGAGACATCATGCCTGGATAGAAATCACTTGGAAATCAATTGAACTGGCAGCAATTATTCTTTAACTGCCCATTTATTGTTAAAAGCTCTTGAAAAGGTGACACATTGTTGAATGATGACAGATGATGAACTATCACAAACACTGAAATAAAGGTAATGCACATGTTCAAGCAAGAAACACTCTAGAATGTTCAGGACTGCTTCCCAGATCAACAAGTAAAAAAAAATTGCTCAATTTTATTCTGAGAAATAAATTTGGGCAAATAGCTGATTTGAGTGCAGAACTAAGAGGCAGTGATAACATGTCAGCTGAACAACAAAAAAAGACAATTAAGTGTTCAAATAAAAGTTGCTAGACTGCTAAAAGGCAGAAGTTAGCAAGATGATCTGGCCAAAACTAACATGACACCGGCAGTGGAAATGGTCAAAGGAGATGAATAACATCCAAAAGAAATATTCAAATAAAGGTGAAAAGATGAAGCGGTGAAGCAAATTAAAAAAAAAAACGAGATGTGCAGAGAAAAAGAAAAAGACTAAACTGAAACTTAAACTCCAGGTACATGTTAAAGTTGGTGCTCAGAAAAGGAAAAAAATTGTTTTAAATTTGTAACGTGTGTAAAAACATTAATGGGAAGATAAGATGAAAGAGCGACATAGAAAAGACCTCCACTCACTAGAAAGAGTTTTCATGTGGATGGTAAAACAAAACAGAAAAAATAAATCAAGAGAATAGATGACCAGAGTTGACTAATCATTGAAAATGAAGGTTTGGCAAACATATAAAATTACTTCTTTCAAGTAGGAATACACATATACTTTAGGAGGTTATGCAACAATTGTTAGACATAATTGCAGCAAAGAAAATGACTAAAAAAACGTAATAGAACAAAAGGTGTTTGAACCAGGTGTCATCTGAAAAAAGTCAGAGGGTGGCGTCAGAAGCATTAGCTACAATGTTTACATATTACTTGAACGTGCAGATGTCAGCAGGATACCACTAGTCACATCCCACGAATTTGAGTACTTACCCATTATTCCAACTTTGTTTCCTGCCACTGAACCAATTTCCTATCCATGTCAGTAATTTGCCTTCAATTCCTTGGGCTTTCATCTTAGCTAACAGTATTTTGTGTGGGACTTTATCTCAGACTCGCTGGAAGTCCATATAAACAATATCCATCAACTTACATCTGTCTATTGCTTTTGAAAAAAACTCTACAAGGTTTGTCAGGTATGACCTACCCTTCATGAATCCATGCTGACTCTCCCCGATTAACTGAAATTTTCAAGTGATCAGTTACCCTATCTTTGATTACAAACTCGAACAATTTCCTCACCACAGATGTCAGGCCAACTGGTATGTAATTCCCTGGTTTCTCCCTGTCATCCTTCTTAAAAAATAGTGTGACAAGAGCAAATTTCCAATCCAGAGGTACAAGTCCTGAATCCAGATTATGGTTACGGTATCAGCAACGTGTTCCTGACCTCCGTTAACAACCATAGAGGGAAACCATCCAGTCCTGGGGATTTGTCACTCTTTAGTTCCATCAATTTTCTTATTATTTAATTATATAGTTAAGCTAATTTTATTTAGACCTTGCCCTTGACCCTCTTAATTTCTTTGGGACTTTCAGAAAGCTACCCTCCTTTTCTGCTGTGAATACTGAAGCAAAATAATTGTTCAGCAAGTCTGGCATTTCCCCATGGTCATTGAGAATATCCCACTCTCATCCTTCAGTAGGTCAATAATACTCAACCAACTGCTTTCCTTTTATGGGGCGGCACAGTGGCAGCACTGCTGCCGCACAGCGCCAGGGACCCAGGTTCGATTCCACCCTCGGGTGACTGTCTATGTGGAGTTTGCACATTCTTCCCACGTCTGCGCAGGTTTCCTCCGGTTTCTTCCCACAGTCCAAAGATGTGTACGTTAAATGGATTGGCCATGCTAAATTGCCCATAGCATTCAGGAATGTGTAGATGGGTATGGGTGGGGTGTTCTGAGGGTCAGTGTGGACTTGTTGGGCCGAAGGGTCTGTCTCCACACTGTAGGGATTCTACGTAACAATAATATCCCTTTTTACTGTCCTTTAATGTCCCTTGTAAGTTTCCTGTCATAATCATTTTTACCTGCTCTTATAAAGCGCTTTGTGGCCTTTTGTTGGTCACTGTTTGTCCCATTCTGTGGGATCTGTACTGTTCTTTACATTTTAATAAGCCTTTTTAATTTTATGCTGTCCCTTACCTCTTTAGGTATCCACAGCTGTTTTATTTTTGTGAGGTGGAGCCTTTCCTTCTCATGGATACAAACTGCTTCTGAATAGCATTAAATGTTTCTTTGAACACCATCCACTGTTCCTTGGCTGTTTTACCTATTAGCAGAGCTTCCGGGTTTACTATGGACAGTATCTACCTCATCCCATCTAAGTCTGCCTTATTTAAATCCAAAATTCCAGCACACAATCTTTGTTTATCCCTTACAAATGCTACATGAAACTTGATCATGTTATGATCGCCATTTGACAAGCGCTCATGAACAATTAGGTCACTAATTAAATTAGGCTCATTGCAAAATACTAGCTGCACCATTGGTTATCCCCTTGATGCATCCAAGGCATACTACTGGATACCCTCTAGAAATTCACAAACTTTCTAGCAGGCACTTGTCTATCTCTCCCAGTTAAAATTAAAATCCCTCATTAACATTACTCTACCTTTGCTACATAGTTGCCTAATTTAAGCATCTATACACTCTAGCACCTGTGAGCTGCTACAAGTAGTCTATATATGACATCTGTTGTGGTTTTAGTTCCTTTACGGTTCCTCAGTTCCACCCATTCATTAGGTTTCCACTGGGTGCTTTTCCCTCATTACATCCTCCCTCACCATGGGAATGATTCTGTTTCTAACTCTACCTCCTGTAAACCTTATAACCTGGAATGTTTAGTTCCCACTCCTGACCATCCTGCAGTCATGTCTCTATAACCATATCTTAGTTCCCAATTTGAATCTGTGCCTGCAGTCATTTAATTTGTTCCTTACACTCCATACATGTGTGTAAAGAACTTTAATTTCGGCTGTTCTGTCCTTCAGCATCTTTTTATTATTTCTCCCTCTTGGCTTACTCAATACACTTTTTATAGTCCCACTTTTTCCATTAAACAGGTTCAACCTATTGACTCCTACCTTCTCTGCACATCCAGACATGCAGCTCCATTCTCCTCTACCCACCGCTCATCATACTAGTTGAAACCCTCCCGAGTGGCACTAGCAAACCTCCCCTCAAGGACACATATATCCTTCAGTTTAGGTGCAGCCTGTCCTTTGTGTACAGGTACCACCTGCCCTGGAAGAGATTCCAGGGAAAGTAGCCAATGTATATTCAAGTAGAGAGAGAACAACAATTGGAGCAATTAATGAGTTTTGGGAAAACTTTTAGAATCTGTAATTCAGGAGAAAATTAGTGAGCATTTAAAACACTTCGGTTAAAATGAAAGACAATGTCAGTACATACCAATTTAACACAGAGGTAAATCATACATTACAAATTTAATTAGAGTTCTGAAGTGACAACGAAGAGAGGGGGAATACAGTAGATTTATGTGAATAAAAACAGGGGTAGACATGGCCCCGAGGCTGCTCCATTACTCAGTGAGAACAAGGCTGGTCCTTTACATCAACTCTACTTTCCCTGCTCAATCTCCAAATTCCTCAGATCCCTTATAACAAAGCGTGATCGATCTTAGCCTTCAATATTTTCAATGACTTAGACCCATTGCCATTCAGAACAGAAACTTCCAAAGATTCACAACACTGAGTCAAGAAATTTCTCATTATCTTCATCCTAAGGGGTCTGAGTCTATGCCCCTTAATGCTAGATTTTCCATTCAGGGGAAACAATTGTTTTATATTTACCAAGAAAAACCATCTCAGTACCTTTGATGTTTCAATTCAACATTTTATTTTTCCAAACACTATCTGCGCAATCTCTCTTCATATCATAACCCTCTAATTTTAACAGCGTGCCAATAAAACTTCTCTGCACCACCTGTAAGGCAAGTATATTCTTCCTGTTATGATCCCAATTGATGGTAACACTGAACAAGCCATATCCCTAGGAAACCCCACCTTGATGGACCATAAGTTTCATTACTTAACTTGATGACTGTGGTCACTTACTTTGTAATGGATTCCCACCTTTTCCCTGTGACTGAAGGAAGGTTAATTAGTCTGTAATTCATTTTTCTTACATGCTTAGTGAAATTTGGAAGAAAATAGGTGAATCCACAATTTCTGCTGCCAACTCTTTTAGAAAGGCAAAATGTGGACCTAAGCTTTTCAGTCCTTTAATTAGTGCAGTTTGTTTTTCCTAATATTAGTTATATTAAGTTCTTCATTCTTGCTTGACCTTTGATGTTCCAATACTTCTGGTATTACACTAGAGTCTCATACCATGAAGATATATTACAAAAAAAAATTGCCTCCCTGTCATTTCCCTATTTCTCATCATTATGCACACGTCAGGCTCTCAGGGACACACTGTTGCTGATGTCTTCCTTTCTATATGCTTGCAGAAGTTCTTACAAACTTTTTCTTTTATGTCTTGCTAATTTACTCTCTTTCTATTTTCTCCTGACGTAATTATTTGTTTATCTTTAGTAGCTTTTCAAAAAGATGCAAAATTTTGTGCAAAAGATTAAAAACTCAACATAAAAGAACCAGATTAGTCTATTTCAGCCCAACGAAAACAAGGCAATTCTGCAGACTGTAAAATGAAATTCATGTGCAAATTACCAGCTTTTCAAACCTATTAAATTCCATAATAGTTCATGTTGAATAGATATGCAGGTATTTAGTTGCAGTATATCTGCAATAATTTAAATAACTGAAAAATTACCACAAGACAAGACATTTGTTTCAAACTCAAGAACAGAAATATGGAGATAAATGTATACTTCTCTCCAATCCTAAAATATTTTAGCTTGAAAACTTACTTTAGCTTTCTTGGATTCTGGATCAAATCTCTCCAAAATTAGCTTAGCATTCTTGTATGTCTCCTTTTCCATGACCTCTTCAAGCTATTGGGAAAACAGAGTTACACATCAAATTTTGGTCATATTTATAACATTAGTTAGACTAGTTTGAAATGGTAATACTTGTTATGATCCCAGCTGATGGTATTACCGGACAAGTCAGCTCACAGAATAAAAACTGGCTTGATAAAACATATGTTATTCTTATTTAGTTAATGTGTGGTTAGTCACCAAGGCATTTTCACATGAGGCTGCAGACTTTCTTTAACAACAGAATAAATTTGATTACACAAAGGAAATGAAAATAACAATGGGCTAAATCTTACATTTTTTGACTTAAGTCCTAGTTGCATTGGGTTTTTAGGGAGGTTTCTCACTCTCTCTTACCAAATGCACCTCATCATATGTAACTGAAATGTGGTTGCAGACCATCAGTCTGGAGTTGTGCTGCAAGATTCCAGACATCTATCCCAGATATGACAAACAGGGGATAATGATACCCCAGCTCTGAAGTCCTGCTGGACGGAATGGCATACATGCACTCTTCTTCCACATCACTAGGACCAGTAGTGGAGACATCGACACCAGGTCCTACCAACCTGATCCAAGGTTGTCACCAGGTCCGTACAGTCTGAGCATCTGGAGCAATGACCAGCAGTGTAGTAAGGAAGTCAATGACCTTCAACACTCTGCCAGCCCAAGTACCACTATCTTTTCTCTATTACCTCACATACGCTTGATCTCTGCTGCTATACTCATCCCCAAAAGGTTCATGCTTACCATTCTCACTACTGCATGCAATACATCCCTCATTTGCCATTCCCCACACCAACACTTGAAACCATGAACCTAGATATACTTTGCACTGCCTTCTTATCCACCTGGAACACCTCCCAACCTACAGCAAAAGTAACAGTTGTGCCCCCAATTTAATCTCCTGTAACAGCTGTTTCTCTCTCATTCCAGGAAGAAAATAGCCCACAATCAAGCAAAAAGAATCTAGAATGGTATTGGGATGCCCAACATCGGGCCGCATGCCCCTTATGAAGAGACAACCCTAATGCTGACCATGTCCAAACTCTGTAGTAGTATCGGTGACTGCCCTCAACTTACTAGAACCTCCTAAGCGAAGGACATCTTCCTTGATGCAACTGAGGGCTGTTGACAACCATGACAAGCTTCCTTGTGTCTATGCTAAATGGCACTGCAAGGCAGGGATGTTGCAAGCACCCAGGTAGGCTCAGTGTGAGAGCACAATGACAGCAAGCAAACAAGCCAATCCTTGAGCCAGATGTGTGACCATCAGTGCACAGCATCCTTACAGCAGCAATCCATAGTTGCCAGTGCAGCCGAGGTACATCATTTAAGTGCAGAAGCATGATTTAAGTGATTCAGAGAGGTCTCATGAGGGTTGCTGGCATCTGGCATATGTCTGTGGATGCGTGGCCAGTGCCCATGAAGACCATGCCCAGAGATGCTGGTGCCTGGTATCAGCAAACAGTCTTCCTGTTGGATAAGGGCAAGCTGATGTGGCAGGCAGCTGCTCTGACATTCATGTCAGGAACTCTCAACTTATTTGGCAAGATGGAAAGCTGATTTTTAATAAGGCAAGTTGTGGCTTTAATAATGCATTTAACAAGCTATAACACCCTTTAACCACAACTCGCTGATGGCTAGTGAGAATTTCACCTCACTGCTCAACAAGAACTTAAGATGCGGCAAAACACTCCGGATGTCATCTCATCTGGCTCTGCCACAAATCACTGCATAGCACACATCGTTTAGACCCCCGTAAGAGTCTGCCTAAATATCTAAACATTGAAGACAATTAGCAAAAACTAAATATGCCCAGCAAAACAAAGTTTCAACCCACTTAGAGGCACTATCCCTTACAGTGATTACATATCCAGAAAGATTACTCCCATTTCAACTCATTAGGGCACAATTTAACTAATTACAACATTTTCTTTGCCATGGACTGTGGAGACAGTTTGCCAAGTCCTTTTCACACATGCTGAATCAGACAGCCTAAACATTCTCAGTTCTAACAACCTTGAAAATTTCTAACCAAACTCTCCTAGTTTGAAAATTTCACAAATTACCCTTCTGCTGAGGTAACTTACTCCCTGACCTGCCCTGAAATCCTTCTCTAGGACAAACATAACTGTGGGGTTTAGAAGCCAGTGGTGTCTTCTGAACTGAAAAACTTAATTCAGAATTTAATTATTTTTAAAAGAGGTGCTCATCCCAAATTCTTCTAAACTGAAAACAAATTTAAGGGCCTTACATGTTTTAAAATGGCTTCTACTTGTCACAGCACCTCTTTATAAAAAGAGGCATTTGTTGACACGAACCATGTGGACTCATTGGGAAATGCATGGTCCCAAGCACTGATGAAAAATAAGTGCATATTAAATTGTGTATACATCAATGGGCATTAGCAAAAAAATACCGAAGAAAAGCACCATTAAGGTGGATGGGTGCTGAGAGCTAACAAAATGAAAGCAATGCTCTCAAATGTATGCAAAATAAAAAACAAAGATCAGCTGGAACCAAAAGTTCAGCTTTAAGAGGAGCATGGAGCAACTACCAATGAGGCCTGGTTACGAGCTGGGCTAAGGCTCGAAGGTGAGCGAACAGACAAACTGGTATACTGAAATTCAGTATTGATGAAAAATACTAATTGTTGAGTCACAAAAGCTGCAAACTGATTTACCACAGCTCAGAAAATAACCGTTTACTAAACTGTAGCACAGTAGATATGCTCCTGAACTAGAAATACAAAATCGATCCCACGTGGAATTATGGAATTTAAAACCATTTGACTGAATAAAAATCTGGACTAAAAAGCTGACATTAACAATGTTGGCTATGTAACTATTTGATAGTCATCAAAACACACCTTGTTCATTAATATGAAAATAAGAACTGCAAATGTTGGAAGACCTGAAACAAAAACAGAAATAGCCGGAGAAACTCATCACGTCTGACAACATCCGTGGAGAGATTCTGTCAGACTTGCTGAGGTTCTCCAGCAATTTTTGTTCTGGTCTTGTTCATTAACATTTTTTTAGGACAAGGCCAGGCCATCAGAGGTGTCATCACAATAACACAGACTCTGGAATGAGTGGTTCTGGAAGGCCTCTCCATTGACTTTGGACCCTAGAAAGTCTCATGATAACAACTGAACAATGGCATAAAAGCTTAGTTTGTAATTGGGGCTATCATCCTTCCAGACTGATTCATTGATAAATTATTTATAATGAACGTCACTTGAAATACTCAATGAAGGCAGGAATGGTACAGAATGTACTCTAGGTGGTGGACTCAATATTCATCTCAAAGAGTGAATCTATAGCGTCACTACTGATTGGGCAGGTAGAGAATTGATGGACATTGTTAGCAGATTGGGGCTGCAGTAAGTAGAAGGAAAACCAGCTCAAGGGAAAAGTCCACTTGACATCACTCTCACTATTCTCACAGATGTGTCAAAACAGGTGGTGGTGAGGTAGAGTTGGTGTCATCACAATCCTCACCAAAATAAATACGGTGGTTTCTGATGATGTCACTCAGAAGCAGTATGAACTAACCACCAGTGCTAACTATCAAATTGTTAAATGAACATCCAATACTGGGATTACTCCCAGTCAATATTGGAAACACTGATGCCATCTTATATAGTACCCAAGACAAAATTTGTTCCCCAGCTATAGACTTCCTGGCAGAAGTCAGATTGAGCTAGTTCATTCAAAATTGATGCCATATTTTACCCAGAGAACAGTTCCTTACCCATTAATAGCATCATTACCATTTATTTCCACCTACATAACAAATCCCCAGATTCACCCCCACCACAACTCATCTGCTGATAACATCATTCATTTGTCACCTCCTGACTGGATTATACTCTTAGCAGGTAGCCCACATTGTACCTCTCATAAACTTGAGGTCATCCAAAACTTTGCTGTTCATGTCTCAAGTCAAAATAAAAATTTATTCTCCTGTCCCATATGATCAATGAACTATACTGATGACTAGAAAACCAATATATGTGTATTAAAATTCTCAGCTTGGTTTTAAAATCTCTATCTGGCCTCTCCTCTCCCTTTCTTTGCAATCTCCTCCAGTTCCAAATACTTCATGATATCGAAATTTCTCCACTTCTGACCTTGTGAGTAACTGCAATTTTAGGTACCACGTCAACGGTGGCTGTCTCTTCCGGTGCCTAGCTCCTAAATTATGGAATACCCTCTCTCTACCTCATTTTCTTCCTTTAAGAGGATTGTTAAAACCTAATTCAGTGACCACATTTCTGATCATGTGATCTAATATCTCCTTATATGCTGTGCAATGTTCTGTTTCATAGCTGCCCTATGAAGCATCTTGTCACATTTTATTGTATTCATACAGCCCCTAATACAAGTTCTGGTTGTGCGTTAAGACATGGCTAAATGATAACATGATCAACAACTCAGACAAAGATCTGTAGTTTTACCACATATAAATGTGAACAGCGATGGGTCAATTGAACAACTAATCGGAGGGGGTAGTTGCACAAAGATCTCTATCCTCTGTCGGTTAGGGAAATATTGAAATTGAAAATCAACTAATTGCACATTCAATATCCCATGCGACATAGTCTGGTTCATCCTAAAGACTAACTGCGTACGGATGGAATCAGTGTCAAGGATATGAATACTGCGATGGTCAGGTTGACAATAGAGGAGGGCCAACTAGCGGATTCCAGGTAGATCTATGAGGAACTTCCTAGTGAACACTCCACGACTGTTTAAAATCATGCTTCTAAACCAGACACTCCAGGTTCCATCCAACTTTATGACTTGTCAGACAAGGAAAGTGCTTTTGACTTGTAAATTCTTCCATTTCGCCAAGGGCAGACAGTAAAAGCAGGAAACATTCCTGGTCAGCCATTGGATGAAAAATATAGTTGGATCTTCTACCGTCTCCATCCAAACTCTAGACTTCAAGATGCATGCAAAGGTGCGTGCTGCCATAGCAACTCAGGCCTTCTGAGTGATTTGTAA